CAAAAGCAGCATGGGGAAGAAAGGGTTTATTGGCTCTATACTTCCAGGTCACAGCCCATTACTTTGGGGACTGAAGCAACTAATTCCATCCCATCCGCTCAAAGCAGAGTTTTCTCTACTCCAGCCCAGGAAATAGCTCTAACCTGGGGAGGTGAGGGGTGGCCACTGAGCCCAAGGCTGAGAATACTTCACTACAAAGTCAGGATGTGAGCCCACAGACAAGAGGGGGAAGGCCCCCAAGCTCTGCGGGGAAGAAGAGCTGGTTCTGGAGACAGCTTGGAAACCAACAAGCATGAAGACAGCATCTGAGGGGACACTCATCAGCGTCTTTGACACACAACAAGCTATCACCTAGGGCTGGAGAAAGAGCCAATTGAGGAGAACACTTGTAGGAAAAGCACAAGGACCTGAGTTCAATTCCCAGCATCCATCGGGTGGGAGAAAAGGCCAGGTATGGTTGTACACCCTTGAAATCCCAGAATGGAGGAGGCAGAGACAGGTGGATCCCTGGGGCTTGTTGGCCAGCCAGCGTAGCGAAACTAGTGAGTACCAAACATTAAAAGAAAAGTAATGATTAAGAAAGACATCCTATGTCAGGTTCTGGCCTCGACATATGCAGACACACTGTCACAGACACACAAATCCACAAAGCTATCACTTGTAGATTTAACCCATGAGCCTCAGTGTTATCCAGTCAGGCCACCTGTTCATCCTGGCAATCACTTCAGGGAATCAGGCATAGCACATAACTGTAGACCCCAAAATGCCCAGCTACCAGCAGCTTACACAAAGATGTCATCCCACAGTGCAAGCCTGCAATTTGGAGCAAAACAAGGAACTGTGCGGCTTTTAGAAACTTCACCATCTGAATAAGCTAGGTTAGGCATAGCAGAATTTGTCAATAGGCGGTGTGCCATGAATATTCAATAACAGTAACTACTCTGCTGGCCTGGCCTACTTCATTTCATATCTCCCAAAGACAGCGTTCCCACGTGTGCGCTTCTCTCCTCCCAAGCTGGACTCTCTGTACTGCATTCATACCCAAACACTGTATCTCCCAAGACAGTTGGCCTTGAAGTCTCAATTCTATACCTCCAAATTTAATTCTACTTCTGCGGTCTCTTTTAGGTTGTTGTTGTGGCCAGCAGCATACAACAATCTCGGTCCACAAGAGTCTCAGTGCATTCTCAACACTGGTGCATCTTTATGTTACTAAATACTGCTTAAATGAAACATTAATAAATTTGTCACATTAAAACCAACCAAAATGGGATGGTGTAGGGATTTTAGCTCAGTGGTAGAGTGCTTGCCTAAGCAAGTACATGACCCTGGGTTTGGTCTTAGGTCTAGGAAAAAATACAAAAAAATTAAAAGGGAGGAATGGGGATATAGCCCTGTGGGTAGAGTACTTGCCTCCTCTGCATGAAGCCTTGAGTTTCATCCCCAGGACTATATGAACTGTGTATAGTGGCTCATGCCTGTAATACCTGTAGCCCTAAAGTGGAAATGGTGGATCAGGAGTTCAAGGTCATCCTTGGCTACATAGCGAGTTCAAGGCTACCCTTTTCTTCACGTTCAAAGAAACAGTCTTCAACTATAGATTGCCAGAACAGCCACAGCTGCCCAGCAAACTGGTCTTGTCACATGGGGAGGGAGGGAACCTCTTGACAAGGGTATTGGAGGTCACTGAAGGCAGGGTCTGTTGTCCATTGCGAAGCCCCTAGCCTCAGCTTGCTTTGACATGATGAATGTCTCACAAGGCCATTTCCTAACTTCCTTCCATATTTCTTGTGCTGAAGATAATGCTGGCCGAGGAGAGTTCTCCATCACCTTGCTACCTGATCGGTTTTAGCAGTGGCTGATGATCGCTGGACCTGCAATCTCATCAGGGGTTTGAAGATGCTCACTCCCTAATCCTTCATTCTGCCTGCATTTGCAGCTCTGCTCTCCCTATTATGAACAGTTTCTTATCATCAACCATTTGATTATCTTCGAATATAATTTGTGCTAGAAAGGCAGGAAGATCAAAGCCGGGCTCTTCCCCCTTCATTATTCAGAGGAATGAGATGGTATCCTAGCAACTTGCAAAGGTGACCCACTACATCTTCTTGCTTGGCATATCATCATATCTGGGCTCATCAACTGCCTTTTTTTAAAGGCAGGGTCTGAGGTATCTCATGCTAGCCTTGAGCTGACTGTGCAGCCGAATGATTCTGACCATGTCATCCTTCTGCTCACACCTCACGAGGGGCATGGATTACAGTTGTGCACCCCCATGCCCAGCTTATGTGGTACACGGGGTGGAACCCAGGGAATTGTGCATATGAGCCAAGCATTCACTGACTGAGCTCCACCCCCAGCCCTACTGGTTACCTTTCATTTGTTTGGTTTTAATTCATTGCCGCCTGTTCTTTTGATGCTGTTTGGGGGATCTTATTAACTGCTGATACCCGGCCCCCCACCCGTGGTCCTTCCTGTCTCCCTCGCCTTCTCTACCTCACATCTGCAACCTGACTTATCCTAGGAGGAGGCTCTGTTGCATGGAAGAAGGTGTTTGGAGAAAGCTGGTTTTTAAAGAAAGGCTTGTATACTCATGACCCCCATCAGGGGCTGGCTGAACTTTTTTCAAAGTACAGAATTGAAACATTTAATTTGTCTGTGTGGTGGGCTGTGTGGTGTATGTGTGGCGGTGGTTGTGTGTGTGTGTGTGTGTGTGCGCGCGTGCGCGCATGTGTATGGAAGTCAGGAGAGGACCTGCAATGCCTTTCCTCAGGTACATTGCTAAACTGGCTGGCGCCAGCAAGCCCCTAGGATGCACTTTTCTCTGCCTCCCCAGCACTGGGATTACAGCCCTTTGCTAACATCCCAGCTTTCGACTTGTGTTATGGGGATCGAACTCTGGTCCTCAGGCTTGTATGGCAAATACTTTACCAACAGAGTCAACTCCCAGCCCAGTGTTTCCTTTTTATGAATTCACTAATATCCTTTCCAAACTGAAGCTCACCCGAGGTCTTCACATCAATGCTGTAAATATGTCTTTCTTGTGTACAGATATCTCGGCTCTTCCACGTTCCTCTAACAGCCTCAAATAACCATGTAAACATTTCCTGCTACACTGTTTGCTTCCAGTGTCCTGGGTGGTTGATAATGTTTTGCTCTGTGGGTTCTTTTCTTAAAAAGCATTCAACCGCGTCAACTTTCCCTCTGCTTTCTGCTGAATCCAGGAACCGTATCCCTCTCCCAGGTGAAGAGAAAGCACTTTCTGCGTCTGGCTTTCATTACATTTTAAACAGAGAACTTCTTTCACTGGAAGGGACTCCTACTTCCGAAAGCCTCCACGGGCAGAATTGAAGCAGGCTTGCAGGGTGCTGAATCCCAGTCTTCTACAGGAGAGCACGGCATCTCCTCTCCGGGGCGGGACACCAAGCTACTGCTGGCATGACTGCCAGGCGAGTGCACGAAAGCACAGGTTTACCTCACTTGTCCCAACACAGGTCTCAGCTCAGTTTATTGGCCCGCAGTTCTTCTCAGGCTCAGAATTTCGTAGCAAAGTCACACCCCAGGCAGATTCCAATCATGCCTTGCCATGCTGACAGCCATCTGTTACCTGGTGTGCCAAATATTAGTTTGTTCCCTGAACTGTGCCCCTGGGACAGGTGGCAATAACAGGACGATATAACTCCAATAATAATAATGTCTATCATACACACAGCATGCTCTCACCAAACTCTCTGGGCTCAAAGAACATTTGAACAGGTAATCCCCCCCCCTCCTATGCCCCCTCTCGCTCCCTCTCTGCATGTGTGTGTGAGCATGTGTATTTGTGTCTCTCTGTTTGTGGTGTGTGTGTGTGTGTGTGCGCGCGCGCACATACACACACATACATGTAGAGGTCAGGGGACAATCTCTGACATCATTCCTTAGGCACCATGCACTATTTTTTTGAGACCCTGTGAGCAAGGATGATTGCCCAGTGTCCTTCCAGGGTTCATCTATCTCCTCTTCTCCCACCCTGGGATTACAAGTGCACACCATCACACCTAGCTTTCTCCATGGGCCCTAGGGATCCAACTCAGGTCTTCATGAGCACTCTAGCAACTGAGCCATCTTCTCGGTCCATAGCATGGCTTGAATTTTAAAACGGCTACTTTACCATTCCCAATTCTGTTCTTCCCAGACCTGATGCTCAGGGGTTATTTATTAGTCTAATGCGTTCGTTGAAACATTTGGAGATCGAGCAAGGAATCATCTCTGGGCAGTTATGTGTATATGTGTATGTATATGTATGTACGCTGTCCATGTGGAGGCAAGGTTTCTGTGAGGTCTCTTCCTCAGTTGTTCTCCACATTCCATACTGAGGCAGTCTCTCTGATATGTCTACTCCAAAGCTCACTGACTTGGTTACTATAGCTAGCTGGCTTGCTCTGGGAACCCTGTCTCCACCCACTGAGGGCTGGGAGTTGAGGCATGCCACCCCTCTTAGCTGGCATTTACAGATGTTCTGGAGGTCAGAACTCTGGTCCTCAAGCTTATACGGCAAGGGCTTTACCCACGGAGCCATCACCCCAGCTCAGAGATTATTTTTCCTTTGAAAGATCTCATGCTCAAATAATGAAGACTGAACTAGTGGGCTGCCATGGCAGGCCTCATTCTTCTTAAGAATACAGCGGCCCCTTAGCAGCATGGGTAGGGTGCTGGGACATGCTCAGTGCCTGCTCATTCAGAGGTGCTCTGCAGGCTTCTCCCACATGGCTTCTATGGGTCATTTGTATTGCACACTCCTCTCTAGGACATTTCTAAGGCTCTTTGCACAGTGCTCTGGTGTGCATTTAACGCCAATTACAGAAAAGAAGGATCCAATTATTCCCCCCCAAAAAAGGGCCAACTTTTTCAGCTAAGGGTCCTGCGAATCACAACCCCAGATGGATGGCTGCCTAGATAACCTTCGTAGCTATTTTCAGTCACTTCCTGAAAGACAGGGACCACATACAAATACTCACGAAACATGGTGTAAAACTGCTGTGGGTTCAGATTCCATTTTCCCCAGGGCGTCTTGTGGCCTTTCGACTGGGCATAGCTTGCATGGTTGAACTCAGGTTCTGTCCCAAAGGAATCGAGCACCCGGAGCATGCACCTGCAAGGAAAGCGCTGTGTGTCAAACTATAACCTCGATACTAGCTGCTACTGCTCGCTCGAGAGTGGAGAGCAGCTGGACCCACACTTCAAAGTAGAACTGCCACCGGAAAGGAGTTCAGGCCTTATTTTCTCACTTGTTCAGTTTGCAAAGAAGGCCTCAGCCACCCCAGCACATAGACCTGGCTAGCCACCGAGAGCGGCTGGAGTACCAGTGAAATAGACGTTCATGAATGCTGCAAGGGGCCTGCAGGATTCACTGCGGTGCACTTAGCACCCAGGTAGGACTGGGCACACAGAAGGTACCTAATCAATGTGATGAAAAGAAACAAAGCATCATTATCTCTACAGTTCTCATTCTGCTCAGAACACAGGGCATGCTTCAGGGCTATCAGCCTCTGTCAGACTTTACATCAATTAGCTAAATCAAATGGCTTTAGGTGATGCTAATAATACAGCTACAGGTATCTGTTTCATACTAGACACAGCTGCAGGTATCTGCTTCATACCGGAAAGGTACTCTTTACATCGGGAAGCTGACATGGGTTCTAGGGGTTAACTAGGGATAGATGCAGGCCCATGACGCCAATAGTGGCTTTGAAAGAAGATGACCAGAGACCCAAGACAGAACTTTGTGCAGTGGAATTCGGCCCTCACTGGACTGGATGGGGCCATGCCATTCCATCTTGGACATTTTAGCTTCCAACAATGAGAAACAAATTCCATTTCACAATAAACAAGTCTGGCTCCAGTATTATGTTGTAGTAACACAAAACAGACTTCGGTCTCATTTATGAGGCAGCGGTAGCTTTTACATATCCAACTCTAATAGAATAGGACTTGATTGCTAGACCAGCAAAGAGCTGAGGCAGTACAATGGAGTCTTGTCGGTCTGCTCCACTGAGCCAAACCTGCTCCACCAGCTACCTTAGTGAAGCTGTGAGCTAAGAATTGTTTTTGTTTGTTTTTTTTCTTTATTTTTATTTTTCGAGACAGGGTTTCTCCGTAGCTTTTGGTTCCTGTCCTGGAACTAGCTCTTGTAGACCAGGCTGGCCTCGAACTCACAGAGATCCGCCTGCCTCTGCCTCCTGAGTGCTGGGATTAAAGGCGTGCGCTACCACCGCCCGGCTAAGAATTGGTTTTTATAATCTTTTGTGTACCTGGATATGTGTTTGTATATGAGCACATGTGCACAAGTGAGAACAAATGTGTGTGTGTAGGTCAGAGGTCAACTTTGGACTGTCATTACCCAGGCACCGTCTACCTAGGCTTCTTTTGAGACAAGATCCCTTGCTGACCTGGAATTTGCCACACAGGCTAAGCTGTCCAGCTAGGGAGCCCTAGGGATCTCCCTGTGTCTAATCCCCCGGCAATGGTACTGCAAGCGGGTACCGCCATACCCAGTTTTGTCACGTGGGCTCTGGGGCTAGAACCCAGGTCCTGGAACACGACAGAACACTTGACTGACTGAGCACTTTCCCCATACAGCTTCACAGTCTCAATTTTAAAAAACACAACAGAGGAAAATTCCATGAAGTTTACATTCCTACAATGGAAAATCAAGTTTTATTGAAACCCGGCCACACTAGTGTTGATACCCTCTGTCTGCAACTTGGTGACCGTCTTCAAGCCATGACGGCACAGTGGAGAAGCTGCAGCGGAAACTATACATGGTTGCAAACTATTCCCAAGCTGGCCTCTTAGACAAAGGAAGCATAGAGGATAACTGGGAGAAAGGAATTAGAGAACCGGCATTATCGATCTGGGCTGCGCAGACTTAACTGGTGATTTTCAAACCATGTAAATGCAGCTCGGGGCGCTGGTCGATGGGTGGTTCTGTTTGCTCTTGCCCTCTATCAGGACACTTCCGAGCAACTTCCATTAGGCCAACACACACCAAACTGAATGAAAATTAAAGCCCACATTTAGGACAGATGGTGGCAACACTTTTAAGGACCCTTTCTTCCTTTTCTTATGATCAGGAAGCTATTCTAAATTTTTGTAAACTTTCACACTGATATAAGATTCTGAAAACAGGGGCTGGAGAGATGGCTCAGAGGTTAAGAGCATTGCCTGCTCTTCCAAAGGTCCTGAGTTCAATTCCCAGCAACCACATGGTGGCTCACAACCATCTATAATGGGGTCTGGGGCCCTCATTTGGCCTGCAGGCATACACACAGACAGAATATTGTATTACATAATAAATAAATAAATATTAAAAAAAAGATTCTGAAAACAAAATAAAACCATTGAAGTCCAAATACCAGATCACACACTCCAGGAAATACAACTGTCATCTGAGATTTCTAGATGAGACAAAGACAAAATGGAGGAAGGCCATGGCCACAGAGTGCACTGTGAGCTAACCTGGGACAACGTCCTCACCTGGATTCCTAGGTGGCTTTCTTGCAGCTACTCTCAGTACATTGACAGGTCTCTCTTTGGGGGATGTGGGAGTTCATGTGTCTGCATGTATGCGTGTGTGTGCATGTTTACAAGTGTGCATGTACATGTGCTTGAAGCATGGGGGTGGCCAGAAGTCAAACTCTGGTGTCATTCCTCAGAAGCCACAGGCAGAGGCTGGAGGGCTTCTTGTTCAAGGTCCTCCTTGGCTCCATCTTGGAACTACCTTATTCCCGTGTTGTCAATATTTATGCCACTGCTTGGATACCTTCTATGTATCTGAAACATCAGGACCCTTCTAACAATTTGAACATGTATTTGCCCCAGTGCCCAAGGCAGCTGGCCTTCCACTAACAGAGACCTCACAGAATGTCAAATGACATTAGAATACTGTTGTTGCCCGAGGCTACACTACAGGGAGAGAGAGATGCTCAGAAGCAAAGGGTCTTCTTTCTAGCTGGGAGTCTGGTGTAAAAGCTGGCAGGCTGTGAACCATTTGTATCTCACATTCTTGCACATCTTCAACATTCAGCAAAGGACTCCTATGGAGCAGAAGGGTAGTGAGCTCTGTAGACCATGTTAGAGTCTAGAGTACCAGTAGCATGTCAGCATCAGGAGCAAGTGTTTAATCGAATTTCCTAGGCTCTTATGCAAATTAGAAAGAATTTATACGTATTCTTCCAAGGTCAACAGACCTAACAGGCTTGTTGCTCACTGGAAGGTGTGCTGACACCACACTATAGAATGCAGTTCCCCTTACCTGCCATCAAGTAATATGACCATAGTCTGACAGCTTCTTTTGTGTGCATGTGTGTATTGCACATGCGTGTGCATGTTCCTACACCTGTGTAGCTGTACACAGATGTGTATGGGTTGTGTGTATACCTGTATGTGATGTGATGTGTTTATGTACGTAGACCAGAGGTTCCTTGGTAGCTCTCCATCTTATTTTCTGAGACTGGGTCTCTACTGAGTTTAGAACTCACGGAGTTGGCTGGAGTATTTAGCCAAGAGCTCCAGGAGCCTCCTGTCTCCACTTCCCCATGCTGGGATTGCAAATGTGCACCCTCATGCAGGCCTTCTCTGTAGACGCAGGGATCCAAACTCGGGTCCTCATGTTGCATGGCCAGCGCTTTGCCAGCTGAGCCATCACATTGGTATCCCTCTCTCCTTTTGATTTTTGGGATACAGTTTCATGTCACCTAGGCTGTCCTCAAACATCTAAGCGCTCAAGAATGACCAAGCTTCTGATCCTCCTATCTCTACCTCCTGAGTACTTGAATCACAAAGAGGCACTGCCATACCTGGTTTTTAGGATCCTGGGGACTAAACCCAAGACTTCATTTACAACAGGCAAGTGAAATACACACGGAACTCTAACCCTAGACATAACTTTTCATATTTAAAGGGAAAGAAGTAGGCAAGAAAATTCTAGGAAGTCATGTGATGAATCTGTAGCTTTTTCATAAAACAAAGACCAAAAGCTAAAGCTCCACGAGGCCCCCTGCTGCTTCCTGCTAATTCAGACCTTTACTAAAGAAGGAAAACACTATGCACACCCATAAACCCCACACGTGGAGCATTTTCACACAGTAAGCATCAAATAGCAATCAACAGTGACCATTTTAATAACGACATGGCCTTTCTTAATTGACCCAAACACCACCACTGAGAATATATTTCCATCTAAAGAGCCCGTCTTAATAACAAGGATATGAGAGGGGAGGTCTGGATTACCCAGTTTCCTCTGCATGTTTTCCAGATATCTACCATTCATAAAATGACAGAAAGGAACAACCCTGACTTCCCTTAAGGCTATCACAAAAAAGTATTTATAATATGGTTTATTAACCAAGAAGAAAAATAGTTATTTCTATACAACTGAAAAAAAAAATAAAGTCATGGCTTGTGATCTGTGAAGAAAAAAACCAAACCAATAATAGACAAAATATGGTACCATAGACAGGGTGGAGTGCTGGAGCCGAGGAGATGGACGGTTACAGTGTGTGCAGTGCCTGCTGCACACTTTGAAACCCAGTGCTGGGTAAATGAAGGCAAGTGGATCCCTCGGGCTCACTGGCCAGCCAGCCTAGCCAAGAAGCCAGCTCCAGGTCATTGAAAGACTATCTCAAAAACAGGTGTCGAGAGGTGGAGAGAGAGAGAGAGAGAGAGAGAGAGAGAGAGAGAGAGAGAAAGCAGAGTCAGGGCATCACCATGTAACCACCAAAGAAGTAACATGCCAGCACTGATAAGCCACAGCTTTGTGGTGATACACAGATTAGTAGAAATGGGTTAATTTAAGACATAAGAGCTAGCTAGGAATATGCTAGAGCCATTGGCCAAGCAGTGTTGTAATTAATATAGTTTCAGTGTGATTATTCGAGTCTGGGCAGCCAGGAATGAAAGAGGAGCTTCCACCTACAACAGTGTTTCTGAAGAATGACATCAAAGGTTGTTCTCTGCCCTCCATATGCATGCACACCTATACACATGTATACATGAACATGTACACGCATATACATATGATCAAAAGAAAAAACTAACAAAAGGACAAAGCATTATCCTGGTCCAAACTTTCCTAAAAGTAAAAAGAATGGTACTCTCTCTCTTGAGGAAATGAAAATAATGCAGACTGTAAGAACAACATTCTCAACAGAGTCAATACAATCATCACAGTCAATCAACACAGTACAATCAACATCGTCAACATAGCAGCCATTCCAAATAATCAAAACAATGAAAAGTCAGTAGAGACAGTCAGCCAGCACAGTCAATAGTCAACACAGCCAACAAAGTTGCCACAGTCAACAGTCATTCAACAATCATTCAACATAACCAGCAGTCAGCACAGTCAACAATGTCAGCATAGTCTATACAGTCAACAGTCCACACAGCACAGTCAATAGTCAACACAGTCAACAAAGTTGCCACCGTCTCCACAGTACAGGCAGCAGTCATTCAACAATCATTCAAGAACAGCCAGCACAGCCAGCATGGTCAGCATAGTCAGCCACCATAGTCAACAGTTATTTAACACAGATAACACAGTCAACAGTCATTGAAGTCCGTCAATATAGTCAACACAGTTAACATAGTCAACATAGAACACTTGGACCCTTAATACAGTGTCTCCACTATCACCCTCTTTGATATAAATATTTCATCGCCCAAAGATAAAAATAAATCATTGCTGTCGGTGGTAATGTTTGAGAGAGAATATTATACATAATGGACATTACTAGACCTTGAATTTTTGAGAAAATTCTTTGCATTTTTACTTCTTATTTTTGTCTGATTCATAAAGGACTTCCAGTCTGAAATGATCTTGGGGGTTTAGAGTTAAAAACACTGAATGTAACTAACAAGAAGATAAAGGCCTACATTGGGATATTTATGAATTGGATAAGTTAGAGTATGTGATGGTTTATTCTTGATTGACAACTTGATTGAACTTTAAGAAATGCCAAGGAGACTAGACAAGCAAGCCTCTATGCGTGTCTGTGAGTGTATCTCCAAAGATGATTAACTAAGGGAAAGTCTACCCTGAATGTGGGAGGCACCATCTTGTGGGCTGGGGCTCCTGGTGGAATACAGAAGAGAAATTGTGCAGGCAAGGCATTCTCTCTCTCTCTCTCTCTCTCTCTCTCTCTCTCTCCTTCCTGACTGCTATGATGTGAACTGCTCTGTCACACTATCCACATCACAACATTGAAACCATGAGCCAAAATAAAATCTTTCTTCCTATAAGGTATTTTGCTCAGGTATTTGGTCAATGTGACAAAGTTAACACAGAAGACCATATCAAAAATGCTGGGATGTAGACTAGATAGCATGAATGAAGCTATGGTTTCCATTCTATCCTTAGCACTGATAAAATCTGTGTGCAGCTGCAGAAACCATAAGAAAGCCTGCCTCCTCAAGGTGGAAGAAGAGATCCAACTCTCAAAGGCTGCCCTCTGACCACCACATACATGCTGTGGCATGCACATACACAGATTCACACAAACACGAATGCATGTACACAACAAACAAACAAATGAACAAGAAAAGTCACTATTTGACTAAATGCATGAGATTCTCCTACGTATACAAAGAGAGGAATGCTAGGTATTGGGGAGGATAAATGGGAAGCTGCTAGATATGTTTTGTTTTTCTTTTTTTTCTTTTTTCTTCTTATTTTTTAAGTCAAGGTTTTACTCTGTAGCTTTGGCTGTCCCAGAACTCACTACATAGGCCAGGTTGGCCTTGAACTCACAGATATCTGCCTGCCTCTGCATCCTGAGTGCTGAAATTAAAGGCATGCGCCACTATGCCTGATTGGGCACCTGTTTTCTATTCTTAGAACATCAATAGAAATGATGAACAATCTCAGGGAGTGGTCAGTGGAAACAACCTGAATTTCATTAGGAATGAAAAGTATACTCCAGACAGTTCAAAAGATAATACTTAATTACCCTTTAAGAACAAAAAAAACAAACAAGCAAAACCAGATACAATTCTTGTCGGGAAAAAGGGTCTTAGCATGTAGTACTTACTGGTAATGAACCCAGGATGGTCCTAGAGTTTTCTTAAATTGAGCAAGTCCCACAATATCGATATAAATTAGCTCGACGATCCTGTCTCCTACAGTGGGGCAGCCAGACCGGTTTCCAACAACCTTCTTCATAATCCTGGAGCGGGACAAACGGGCACAAAAAGAAAAGACATCAGACACTTGACAATCCTAACCCAGGCAAATGTGACAGGATCACACACACCTCAAGTCCCTATCAGAGATAATGGGTTTATGCTCCACACCTGTCTCAACTCTCCAGCGTCCTCATTCTGACAGAGGGAAATTAGATGCTGGTATACAAACACAACCTGTGAGGTTAGCAACCTGTGTGACCCGTCTCTTCTGTGGAGCAGACATGGGCGTTACCATGAGATAGCTAACCTGATTCATCTCTATGAATCTCTCCTCCTATTGTCCTCCAGGATGGGGAGAGGGGATTGAATAGTGATGTGCCGATACTGTCCCCAAATTCAAACAGTCTCTCTTAGAAAGGGACTCTTTAAGACTCAGGAAATACAACTTACAAGGTCCAGGAAGTAAATGAAACTCACAAGTCCCAGGAAGCTCCTGGACCAGGATTCACAGGACCCGCCCGAGGTTATACAAGCAATAGCAATGGCTTAGGAGAGAAGACTCTGTAGTCAGTAGATCTGCCTGCACAGCATGCAGGGAGCTTGAGGGATGCAACTTAATGAGCTGCTACCCATGCTACCCATGCTGGGGTGGGCTTTTTGGTGATGCAGCTGCCTTTGAGTCACCAAGTTCCTCCTAAGTAACCCCTCATCCACAATCCTGTTAAGTAACCCTGATAAATTCACTGGCTCACTAAGCTGGTGTTGGGTGGAATCATTTCTTTGGTCTTTTGTTGGGGCCTGGTGAAAATGTCCCCAGAAAAAGTCACACAACAAACACAAACGCTATGACATTCTCTCCCTTTCATTTGTACTCCCTAAACACCTTGACTCCCAGCCCTCAGCTTGAGTAGCTCCCCATACACTTTTGCATTGTCATGAGAGACTCATGATAGACCTGGCCCTGAGGCTTAGACATTCTCATGATCTAGTCTTCCAGCCACTGACCCACCCTCTCTACCCTGACATCCAAACTGCCCTTGTGCTAACAGAAGACAACACACGTGCTGTTCTGTGAACCTGACTAGTCAGAATGAGTCCAAGGTGTAGGCGCCATGTACCCAGACACCAGGCACCACCTTTGACCCTTTTCCCTGCTCACATCCCACAGCCACACTTGACCATTTACAAAAGTCCCACCTTTGACCACTTTTGAATGACAGGGGACACAAGCTGCTCCACAGTTCCTGACACTTTCTGCTTCAGGCCCCTTCTGCCCCTTCTGCCCCTTCTGGGCTTCCAAAAAAAAAATAAATAAATAAAAAGTAAAGCTCTATTGAACTGATTTCTTCTGAAGAACTGGAAAACTTTCTATGAAAGGCTGGATAATAAACACTTTTCATAATCAACTCAGCCTCTGTGGGGTGGAAGCAGCCATGAGTTAAGTAATAGTTGGTGTGGCTCTGCAACCAGACAATGTTGGCAAAACCAGGCCGAAGGCTGGCTTTGGGCCGCCTCGGCTACTGGTTCTCAATCTCATCTGAACCTACCTACAGTGTAACACTGAATATTTAGACCATGACATTTCCAAATCTTGTAACTTAATGACCCTGGGAATGTTCTGTTCCAGGATTTAAGGAGATTCCCAAATCTCTTGGAAAGTGAAATAAAAAAATTCCCCAAGCAATCCTAATGAGTGGCAAAGAACTGGGGATCATTTCTCTGTGTTGCTTCTGTAATGTTCATTTTCAATAAAGCACATCTAGGGGCTGTGGATGTTGTTCAGTGGGCGGAGCTCTTGCCTAGAACTTCTGAAGCCCTTCGTCCCATTCCCAGCACCATATAAACTGAGTGTGGTGGTGCATTCCTGTCAAACTGTCCAGGAGGCAGGGGCAGGAGGGTCAGAAGTTCAAGATCATCCTCGATGACAAGTTTGAGGCAGTCTGGGTTACTTGTCTCAATGGCCCCTTCCTCCATAAATATTGTACATATGGCCCTCATCCCAATATTCACAAAGATTAATATTGACTTGTCCTTGACCATCAAGCGAGTCTCTGCAATAATCACACCCAACATCTTTCCTAAGCTCCACTGTCATGCCTGATTAATTACTCAGTCCTCCATGTGCTCATCCGCCTACTCGCCACTCACGTCCACGTTCCTTCTCTCATTCCTTCAGTAGCCAGAGTACACTGGGCACCATGTGTGAGAGGCAGGAACACAGTGGTGAGATTCCATTTTCAGCACCCCCTGTTCTTACAACCTCGATGAGCATTAATAGTGTTGTAATTAGTAAGATTATTATTTAATGCATCAGTTGTGATTGTCCAAAGATTGACAGCTGAGGAACAACATGCCGGTCACCTTTCGGACCCCATTTTGAATCCCAGCCCTCAGAAGGCAAGCAGGAAGGCAAGGGGAGGCAGTCTGGTAAAGAAAGAGAACCACTTGAGGTACAAAGGGCAACTTTGTACTCAGAGTTCATCCAACTCTGAAGGAGAAAGGGAGGGCTGTTGCAAAAAGCCTGCAGAAGTCAGTTCCAGGGTCAGATCCAGGTACCTACATGCTACCCCTCAAACCTCAGGTGGCTCAGGCTCAGGTTCCTCAGCTCTAAAACACAAATGGCAAAGCATCTACTTCCAGGTGCTGAGGTTTAAATACAATACAATATATGGGAAGCCGAGATGCTTCCTCAGTAATGCTCCTGCTTCCATATAATACAATATACGGCTGCCAAGATGCTTCCTGGGCAAAAGCTCCTGCTTCTTTCTGTCACTGGAACCCACAGTGGAAGACGAGAACTGACTTTCTGAGAGCTGTCTTCTGACCTCCACATACACAGAGGCACACGTGCCCACGTGCTCACACATACAGTCATAAACAACACTAAACTTAAAACCACGAGGTGCTTAGTATGAACACACAGTAAGTGGCTCACTATAGATCTAATAGCTACCATTAGTGCTGGGGTGGGGCCGAGCTGGTATAAAACCTGCCTGGCATGCATAAAGCCTTGGGATCCACTCCCACCGCCATATAAACCAAACATAGAGGTGCACAGCCCTGGGGAGGTGAAGGTAGAGATCAGAAATTCAAGGTCATCTTCAATTATATATATTGAGTTTGAGGCCAGCCTAGACTACACAGACCTAATCTCGACCTAAAAATAGCCCCAACCAACACTACTGCTATCATAATTCCCGGTATTTCTACTGTACGCAAACCTTTATCATGGTGCCTGGCATCTGGAAAGCAAGGCGAGGACTGCTAAGATTATCTTCAGACAGGATTACTGCCAACAACCTTGGTGTGTCAATAATGCAGTAGAAACAGGGTAGAACGTGCATTGCTCTCTACCATCTCTGGTGGCCTCGCAAAGGCTGGCACAGCGACATGACAACTTGCATGCTGGGTCAGAAGTCTCTGCTCGCAGTTTTCTGGGGGCTGTGGGGACCCTAGTTTTTCTGTTCGGGCAGCTGTATTAACTGAAAAGGCGCTGAGATGGGGGTGAGAACTGAGTGCAAACCTCAGTGGGACGGAAGACTCAGGGAAGAGCAGACTGAGGTGGAAGTTAGCTAACCGAGAAAGGATTGAATTCGGGCTTTCGGGAAATCCATTTTACTCATATTAAATTATAAACAGGAACTGGCCCTGTTTTGAGTTTTAGAAAGCTTGATGTTGAGCAGGGAGTAGCATGGATGTTGGCAAGAGGCAGGGAATTAGGCAAGTCAATAGAGTCTTGCGCTGCAGATGTTGGAAACACCTGGAATAGCAAAGAATAAACGCCTTCGCTTGAGTTTTCCTGGCGTTCATTTAGGAAGCCCCGGAGCCAGCAGCCAATGAAAACATATTATCCTCCTCATAGTGTATATATTAAGCTCCTGAAAATAATCTTCTTATCGCCCGTTTAGCGAATTATCACTCTCATTTTCCCCCCACGAGAACTCACACCCTAAGAGAGGAGCTTTACGAGTTTACTGTTTCGTTTTTGTATTCTGATTTTCAAATTGAAAAAGTAATTTCCTTACTCCTTGAGCTCAGCCAGTGAAGCTGAGATCCGGATGTCATGGCCCAGTAGGTAGAGAGACGTAATTAAATCACTCCATTGAACTAGTTCACCAAGAGGGCCACCGCTGAACGCCGTCTCTGCAATCTTGAAGCCAGATTCCTTGGTCAGGAGCCCCAGGTGCACAAGAATCTGGAAAACAAAAGAGGAAATGCATAAGGACTTCTGGAGCCACCTTCAAAATCCACGCACACCATAAAGCAGTCAGCCGGATAAAGGAACCACTGAAGTCTGAGCGAGGGGTATGCCATTTTTCTACAAGGTATAAATAAAATAAGCAAGGAAATAATGTTTCCCCGTTTCAGACAAAGGTTAAAATCAGGAACTGCCCTTGGTTGCGCCATGACTGTGAGCTACAGATTACCCTGATTTTTAAAAATAGAATATATGGTTGGGTCAGGCATCAAAGACTCTGATGAACAAACACAGGACCCCAGTTCGAATCCCTAGAGCCCAGATACAAAAGCTGGGCGTGGTGGTGCACGCTTCTAAAGCCAGTGCAGAGGAGATGGAACAGACTAGACAGTACTGCAACTTCCTGTGTTTGCCTCTCCTGTGTCGGGATTACAAGCATGTACCACTACACCTGGCGTTTTAAGTGGGGTGGCCCGTTCTTTATCAACTGGGCTCTCCCAGCCCAGCAAGCCTGTTGCTTAAACATCCTCTAATTATGATTCACGAGGCTTGCTTGGTTCTTAAACATAAAACCATGGAAATAAGCATATTGGATGTGTTTCGGTGAACTTTGGTCCCTACCCATCCAGCTGACCCAGTCTGGCCATGGGAGCCTGCTGCAGCTGGTATCTCCACTCTCTGGCCAGAATTGTAGGTGCTTTTGGTAGCTTTTCTATTCTGGGGTATGAGAAGATGTTCTAAGCTCATCAAGTGCAATTTCTGTCTCCGACCTTAATGAGCCATTTTCCCAAGAAACAGCATTTAGAGATCAAAGGCTAGTTCTCAGGGGACACTACTTAATTGCTATTTGGAGACTTCTCCACTGGCTCTAACGAGAAACTTCACGTTTCCTCGAAGATAAAATAAACTACGGGTTCTTCCTGGCAGTGCCACTCCAAACCCAAGGCTGGAGATAATACCTCCAGATACCATCTCCCATCTGTCACCAGCTCTTGCTGTCTCCTGCAGTGAAACTTCCACTCCACGAAGGGAGACGCCCAGTAAGACATTTTCTACACTGTAATGTTCACAATGGCTCCAGAATAAGATTATCAATACCTCGGCATATGACAAGATACAAGTGTTAAATTTAAATTGTCCTCGAAGCTCGCTGTGCTCACTTTACCGTGTTCTACAGAAATAGTGATCAGCCCTCCACTGTGTGCTTGCCCAAAATTGGAAACACACAGTCAATCCAGGTGTTTCATTTTCCTTAGGATTTTCAGGTATGAGGGTTCTTTTTCCTGTTTTTAAAATTTAAAATAGATTTTCCCCACCCAAACAATATATTCTGGTTATGGGTTCCCCTTTCTTAACTCCCCTCAGATCCTCTCTACTTCTCCACCCATCCAAGTCCATGCCTTTTCTTTCTCTCTCTTATTAAAATATAAACGTGCATTGAAAAAAATATAACAATACAAAAAATAATTCAGAATATCAAACAAACAGAAAAAAGAGGGAGGGTATGGCTCTTTTAAACTAATCTTTTTCTTATTGTGTAAATGGTTGTGGTATTAAGTTACCAAGCATGAAGTGCTGAGAGAAATTTGGTTTCCACACCAGCTACACCCACTCCATCCTATCCCCCTCCCTTCTCTGACCGCTCAATTATTTTCTTACTGTGGAAAAAATATGCATAGCATCACACAGTGGCCACCATTTTTTTTAGAGTTCCGAAACTAAAGTTTAAGTCATAGTGGATAAGATCTTTCCTGTGTCGTGTGTGTGTGTGGGGGGGGGGGAGTGCCTGTGGGAGCGTGTGATGAAGATGGCTACATACCAATGTATGCCTTATGCTTTTGAAGCATGTGCATTAAAATGTTTACACGTGCTATGCTAGAAACATTCTTTTATGGTAGGAAAAATAATTAAATGGTGAAAAAAAGGAAGAGAGGGAGGGAAGGAAGGAAAGGAGAGGATGTAACAGGTATGGAAACCATTGCCCACCCCTACTTTCTGCCTGTGGCTATCACCTCTCAGTCACCATCCACCTTGTGTGTGCGTGCGTGCGTGTGTGTGCATGTGTGTGTGTGTGTGTGTGTGTGTGAAGAAGTGGATGTAACAGGTATGGAAACCATGGCCCAGCCCTACTTTCTATCCTTGGCTACCACCTCTCAGTCACAATCTATCTTGTTTTGTGTGTATGCATGTGTGTGCGTGTGTGTCTGGAGATGTGTCTATCTGTGCACACATTCACAGAACACAGAGGAAGACATCGAGCATGAGAAAAGAAAACCTCAGACTGGGGTGAGGAGACGCCGAGCTCATCTCTGATGGAATGTCACTTGACACATGACATCGCTCTTCATCTTGTTTCCAAGCAAAGTCAAATTTTAGGAGGAAGATGCCATATAAAGGAACCGAATTAAGAAACTCACTTTCTTCCGTTTTCTCTTTTCAAGGTTTTGTTTCTCTGCCAGAGATTTGATAGCTTGGATCCAGGCATCAGCCATTCTCCGGATCCGGAGTCTCATCCACCGGAACTCTTCGTGCTTCTTCATCATGCTATAGAGAATGTTAAAATCCGTACGGATTTCCGCCTAGGGAAAAGAGAAAGAAATGGAATAAAATGAACAGAAGATTAAATAAAATCCTAGGATGGAAAGTGATTTTCATGATTGGGCATTTTAAACCTGAGAGCCAATTAAATCCAGGTTTTCAGAAATCAACCTTGACTCTCTGCATGGCCCTTGCTTAAGAGTCCTGAGGGAAGAGGGCCAACGAGATGGCTCGGCAGGTAAAGGCTCTTGCCAAACAGCCTGGCAATCTGAGTTCAATCCCCAGGACCCTCCTGTGGAAGAGACAGAGGACTGACTCACAGGTTGTTCTCTGGCCTCCAATGCTCACTGTGGCACACACATGCCCATACACATGCACGCACAAATAAAATGTGATTGAAAGACTTTAAGAATAAGGACTGCAAATTGAAACAAAACTCCCCCCAGTGCAGATTTTGTTACAAGGGACATCACTGAAAACATCAGAGATTGAGAAAGTAGGCATGGTCACCGTGAAGCCTGAGCGACGCTGGAATGTAGTTTTCACAATGGATCTACCTGATGTACCTTCAAATCCCCTGTGCCAAGACTTATCTGTGTCCTGGAGGCTCCTTCTAGGCAGCTGACCACCAGGAAAAACTATCAGCTCCAACAGGCCAGCCAACACTGTGCGGGTTCCCAGAGAGCCTCTCCTCCCAGGGTAAGATGGGGAAAAATGATCATTTTCTAGTTTTGTCCTGGGCCAAACCAACAAAACTGGATATTTCTAAGGAATTTTAAAAGCTAGGGATCGGGTTTGTTTCTACCATGGCTGAGCACAGTTTAAGATTCAGAGCAGAATAATTTAAGGCCCAGGAAGACTATTTTTCCTGCTCCTCTGGATACTGTAGCTGGATGCTGCCTCTGATTAGAAGATGAGAGAAACGTGGTATCCGTCAAGCAAACCAAATCCATCTCTTAGCCGTCTTCATGGCTCATTCTGAGCGTTTGTCTCCCTCCTTGACCCACAGTCTCCCATAGTCTACACTTGAGTTCACAAACCCTGGCCATAGAGCGGTCCTCCTAGCTGCCTGTGTGTGTACATGCCGTTTTAGTAGAACACTGTCACACCCTTCATGACATATTAATTACCCATGGCTGCTCTCTGCGTTAGGACTACGGAACTGAGCAGGCGTGAGATTAAAGCTCCGACAAAGACAAAAACACTATCTGGCGTTTTACGTTTTTCTTGTTTACTACGTTTTTATTTATTTAGAATGTGTGTGCATGTGTGAGCCTGTGAGCACACGCGCGCACACCCACGCTCAAGTGTGTGTTTAAGTCAGAAGACAACCTGCAGCAATTGGTTTTCTCTCTGTATCGTGTGGGTCCTAGGGAATGAAACGCAAGTCTTCAGACTTGGCAGTAGGCGCCTTTGCTTGCTGAGACATCTATTGGGCTGGTGAGCTCTATTACGTTAGTACACGTTGGGGTGTCAGGTAGCCTAAGCTGGTCTTGAACTCTCTATGCAGCCAATGATAATCATGATTTCTAATTCTCCTGCCCCTACCTCCCAGGTGATAGGATGACAGGCACACACCACCAAGTCCACTTTACCATGTTGCAGACTGAACCCAAGGGCTTCTTGCACGCTAGGTGAGCATTCTACCAACCGAGACACATCCTAACCCCCACCTTGACCTTTCCCGGAAAGTGTCTGCTTTGGGCTAGAGAGAAGACTAGGTGGGTAAGGGCGCTGACTGCTCTTGCAGAACAGTGGGGTTCAGTTCCCAGCACCCATGCCGAGCAGCTCACTACCATCTGTAACTCTAGTCCCATGGGTCTGATGCCCTCGTCTTGCCTCTATGGGCTCCTGCATATACACTGTGCACAAAATCTCATGCTGGCATACAAATAAAACAGACACACAAAGAAAAACAAGGAAAGATAATAAAGACTTTTCAAATGATTTGCTGATCTATGTCTAAAGAAAATGCAAAAATGCCCACGCTTTTGAGATAGCATCGAAAGGTCTCTGGAGTCCCTTCCTCTTTCTAATTGCATGTTCAACCCAGTTTACCCAAACCTCGGACCTTGCATGCCCAGCCTTGTAGTATGATACCAAAGACAGGCTTCCCATAGAGACACGCCTTTCTCCCCACACCTCACAGAGCTCTGCTTGTCCTTCCACATGCTGCTGCTCATCATCTCTTTGGACTCCCCTGACCTACACACTTGAGACCATCCTTCCTCATTAATCTTCCTCAGCAGGCATTAGAGCCTGGTGACAAGCCTGGTTGTTATTTACAGCCAGTCCCCTCATTAGATCACCCAAGGCCTCCACATCTGGCACGGGAGCTCATCCTTCTCTGTGGCCCATCATTTCAGGACCTTCAGAGAATTGTTCAATAAATAAATCTACGCTAACTGGTCTATGATTGGGCCAGCTAGACTTGGGGTTTCAGCTGGCACTTCCAAAGGACGCTGCGTGCATCATGTAGCATAGGACCCGAATGCCCAAGGGGAGGAAGAGTGCTCCACAGCCATTTACCAATGAGTTATGATCGGCTTCTTCATAGGGATTTTTCGCTCTCCAAGGTAAACGGGGACACCAATTTTCAACCTGAAAGAGATAAATCAGAAATGCTTGAACACACCAGTTCATCCTTCCGCTCATACACAAAGTGCTAAGAACTCTGCCCAGCTCACAACAAACATGGCGGGAGGGGGAGGGGGCGGGTGGAACTAATTAACCAGATATCAACCAAACTCCTGTGGCATCAGTGAGCTGCCCAGATGCAGGTGCCCCTCAGTGGGGCAGCATCCTTCCACCAAGGTGGTTAAGAAGTGCTTGACCACATCTTCCACCTGTCCCTAATTACAGGGAGTGAGTTCTTCAGCTAATCCCCCACATCCAGAAGAGGGGACGAGTGTTCTCTGAACCCTTCTACAGGAGAATGGCAGTGTGAAGGAGTCACTGCGGTACCATTCAGCAAATGGGCAGGGGTGATTTTTGATCTGTTCAGGCACATCTAAAGGGAACAGATGGCCTTCAGGCCAAAAAATTAAATCTCTGATTTGAGGATCAGGAACGCAAGCCAAGGTTTAATGCTAATTAGTCAAGGTTTGTTTTCTGGGTGTTTCCTTGACACTGTCTCAATAAATAACCTAGGACTGGTGGCTCGCACCTGTCCTGCCAGTACCAAGAGGTGGAGGCAGGAGGATCAGACATTCTAGGTCTTCCTTGGCTGGATAATGAGTTCTAGGGCAGCGTGAGCTACACAAAGACCCTGTCTCAAACTCCAGTTAAACAGGAATGGGTTAGATATCTATGCAGCGATCTCATGAGAGCCCTTCCACAAAATGACCTGTCCACACGCCTGCTGTGTCCAACCTTCTGATGCTGAGGTAACTACAAAGCTCACTCTGGAGAAGCTCACTACAGAATTACAAAACACACACACACCACACATACATCTCATAATGCTTTAAGCAACCCTATAATTTTGTGTGAGGCTGCACTCATTCACAGCTATCTTGGGTGTATGTGGCTTTTAGGCTCAGGATGAACACATCTGACAGCCATTGGGGGAAGAGAGAAAGAAAAGTGGAAACTTACGGGATTGGTAAAACTTCCCTCAAGAAAAGTTACCAAAGAGATTAGAGAAATTAATAATTTTATTATGATTATCATTCAGAATGGGCTGGAGAGAGTCTAGGAAGGAGCTCAGAAGTTAAGATGAGGATCTGCACTTTCAAAGGACCTAAGTTCACAATTCTCCATTACCTCCTGCCCTCCACCCATACCCCTGCTCCAGGGGATATGATACCTTCTTCCGGCTTCTAAAGGAACTGAACTCACACACACATATTGCTCCTCCTCATATATGCCTAATTAAAATAAAAATTCTAGGAAAGAAAAACCAATATAAATACATTGAGTGATAGTAACATTTAGCCTATTTAGCTAAAATAACAATGACATTTCAGAGATAACATGGTATTCATCTCTTTACTAATAAAGATGGCTCAAGAACTGGCATTGGAAATCAGTATTATTCAGTCAGGGAGACCTAGATGATTTTACAAAAGGGCATCCATTGAGGGTCACTGAGACAGGGAACCATAGCCTTGTTTGTGGGTTGGCAGAGCAGGCAAACAAGATAATCTATCTTCTTGGTGTGGGTGGGTTTTCAAAGAAACATGTCAGTTTCAGTAAAATCTAGAACTGACTCATAATGCAAGGTGATAGTTACTATGACCAAAAATAATTGGCCATATTTGCATAAAGCCGTCTGCTATGGAAAAGATCCGAAAGCAGATGAGCCCAGGGCAGTGAGGCTTACGGGGGGTAGGGAAAGCGTGATGTTCTCTTCCTGTGATGGTTAGGAGTGGCTGCAGTCACTCATGAACTCTCCCATGTGGAAAGCCGAACGCTTTCACTCCTAAGAGAGGATACTAACCTGCCTTGGAGGTCCATGATCTAAATCACTGTGGGCCTTTCAATGGTATGACCATGAAAAGCAATGGAACCAGCTCCACACCTCAGGAAAAACGAGCAGAAAAGCAGCTCAGCAAAGCATGACTCCTCAGCTGGTCCCAGAAATGTCACAGGCAACTGTGCTGGCTGTTCTTAGACCAGACCGATTCATGTGACACCAATTAAGTCTTAGTAAACAGACTCAGTATAACATCCCAATACAGCCTATTTATAATACGAAGGCTCCGGATGGTCCTGGGCTTGGCTGGGAGACCCTCAGCCAAACACACATTAGGCATGGATGTCAGGAATCCTCAGAAATAAATACACAACCACGTTCATTTTTTAAACATACATTTCTCTTCATCCACTTGGCTAGATTTCCTTTGTGTGTGTGACATGTTTGTGTTCCCGTGTGTCCATATGTGGAGGACAGAAGATGATGTTGAATGTCTTCTGCCATCACACTCTGTCTTAATTTTAATTTTGTTCTCTGTCTCTCTCTATCTCTCCCTGAGCTCATCTGTTCAGCAGACCGGTAAACAGCAAGCTCTAGGGACCCAGCTTTCTCTGCCTGCCCTGCTCTGGAGTTACAGGTGCAGCCCTGTGTCCATCCTGCTTACATAGGTGCTGGAGATCCTAACTCAGGTCCTCACGGGAGAGCAGCAGGCACTCTACGGATCCAGCCTCTCCCCAGCACTGAAGAAATGAAGTCTGTACAGGAACCTGTCAGGATAAAAGCATCTCCCCTCGAAGAAGATGAGGGGAAAGATGAAGCAAGACTGTGAATAAAGAAAGCCAGCGAAGAGGCGACACCATCGCGTGACCAGACACTGATAAAGTCCTCCCTTCACATCCCTCCGCCCCGTGAGCAGCCTTTGGTGACTTAGTGATGAAAACAGTCATTCCAAGGTGATCTGAAATATGACTTCACTAGAGAACTCTCAAGGCTGTAATTCCTTGTTTGAGCCGATCATTTTCTAAGTTCTTCTTTCTCTAAATCACTAGCTACCCTTTTGCTGCCTCCAAGGACATCTCTGCAAATATGGAAAATAGAGTGGTCCAGCCGAGCTCTTAGGCAGCTGTTTCAGCCATGCATGCCATCGGAAGAATGGGCAAACAGATACAGACCTTAACCCACAAAAGGAGGGTGAGCTAAGGGTGCTCTTCACAGGGATAGGCTAACTAGTTGATGAAATAATTAAATTATATGTAAGCCAATTACCCTGTGGGGAGTAGAGGAAAAACAAAATATTTCTCTTTTTCTCTGTGGAACCTCAGAGGATTACCAGAGCTGGAGGAGGGCCAGCACTGGTGATAACTCAAGTAATGAAACAAACTGCCTTCCACAGGGCAAAATTTTCCTAAATAAAAGCCCCGTGATGAGCACGCGGGGGAAAACCGCGCTTGCAGTTAACAATTTGACCTCCTGATATGTAACTGCATTTTCTGTCTGATGCGTCCAGTGTCATTTAATGAGCTTGGCCCATTACTATCACAGCCGATCAATAAAGTCGACCCCAGGAGGAGCCCACTGCCTGACTCACAGGAGCTGCCCTGATTCAAACTGTTCCAGAACAGCTACTCTAAGGCTGGCCTACCACCGCCTCCAGACCCTTCCGTCAAGGCTGCCTCGGCTACACTTCTCCAGCTGTGGCCCTTGGCTAAAAGCTTGCCCGCAGTGCAGAGGCACCCTGCCCCTCACGTCCCCTCACCTCTCCCCAATCTTAGAGCACACAGCCTATCGTCCACCACAGTGAACGACAGGAAACTGGATTGGGGAGATAGCCCAGTGACTAAAATGCTTGACACACAAAGGTGAGGACCTGGGTTTGATCCCTAGCACTTATGCTCGGAACCCTGGTGTGGTCGGTATGTTCCTGTAACTCAAGTGCCCGGAAGACATAGACCGGAGAACCGTGCCCAGACAGTCCAGCTCAGTGGTTTTCAACCTTCCTAATGCTTTGACCCTTTAGTACAGCTCCTCATATTGTGGTAACCAACCATAAAATTTTGTTGCTACTTCCTACCTGCAATGTTGCTACTGTTATGAATCGTAATGTAAATATTTGACATGCGAGCCCTGTGAAAGAAGCATGTGACCCGCGCCCCAAAGAGGGGTCAGGACCCACAGGTTGAGAACCACTGCTCTAGTGGAATCAGCACGTTCCAGGATCACTAAGAGGTGGTCTCAAAAAATAATGCGAGAGCAACACCAGAAGACATCCAACACAACACACAACAAACACACGCACGTCTGCAAAAAGGTACACACACGCAAAATGGAAAACCATCTGAATTCACGGTAGCACACACCCAGCGATTGATAAGGCGGCCGCACTACTCTCTAATCTTGTTCGATTTGCAGGCAAAACGCTTTAGACACAAGCTAATCTTTTTAGCTAGTGCCACGGGCCGCAGAATGAAGATGCCGCAGAGTGAGACATGGAAGACCTGCTGGGCCTGAACTTCCGAACACTAACAGATACCCAGTGGAGAGGGCTCTATAAATCACTTTTCTTGAGAGATGAAACATAAAATAAAACAATTTTGACATTCCTCCTGGCGATTTAGCCTTCTTTGAACTAAATAGGTTTTGCAGCTTTGTCAGGAGGCTGGGAAATCAAAGCAGTTCCTACAAGGCCTAACTGGGTCACGCTGCTTTCCAAGGTCCACGTATGGAGGAGTCATTGTATGTAAGGAAAGAGAAACTGCTGGCAGACAGACACACAGCTCAAGGGGGGGGGGGGTTAAAAGAGGAAGCAAGGAGCCTGCCGTCAACACTAACGCTAGATGCCAGGGGGTACAAACGCAGGCTTTTGGGACTGATCTCTGTGTGCCAATGCTCTTCTCTTTGGAAAGAGCCTCAGTTTGGGTATCTTTGCCTGTTAACGGAGAGTGTTTTGCTCTAGTGGATTACTGACACACAGGACCCTGTGCCACCTTTTCCAGGAGATAAACACGATCAAAACCAACTACCAGGTACAGGAGCCCACACTCCCGCACTCTGGGGGCGGTGGCAGCTTGATCTCTTGAGTTCTGGGCCAGTTTGGTCAACATAGTGTGTTCTAGGCCAGCCAAAGCCTCACAATGTGACCTTGTTTCAAAATCAAAATAAAACAACAAACAAAATTTCCCCCCAA